CAGGAATAAAAGTTTTGCTGTTGCCTGGAAAGAGAAAAAAAAAAGGTTTTAATGAGAATTCAGAGCCTGGTACAGCTTCCCTGGAGAGGGGAAAAGACAGGGGTGAGCCAATGCTTTCCAAGCGTGAAGGGAAGACGTATCAAAAAGCAGATCTGTGTCTTCAAACCAGTTGTTGAGTATGGAAATGGAGTTACAGAATGTGCAGTGGCTTATATCGGCACCAGCACTTCCCTTGGTCTCATTTGTAGCTGCAGATGCACAGACACACATCTGTCCGGGGTGCAGCCCCCATGCTGTTTAGTTTGGCTCAGAAGATCTTGTTCAGGAGGGGAAAACCCATCATTGCTGTGGGGCGAAACAGAGAGGAGGTGGCAGAGCCTGAGGGACTGACTGCCCTGGCAGGGACGTCCCTGGTAAAGAACTTTTCTGGGTGCACAGACCTGTTTCCACAGATGGGACTCATCCTTTTTGCCATCCCTCCTGGCAGGGCAGCAGGGTGTGCTCCAGTGAGGCTCCAGCCTGGCAGTGCTGCCATCTGCATAGTCACTCCCTGAGAAGATGCTATCAAGCTCTTGCCTCTCTCTCTGCCTGGTTCCCATTCCTCCTTTGTTATGCTCATCATGCAAGTTCCCAGCACTCACGGGGGTATTTCAGCCTGATGTGGAGGCATTTGCCCATTCCCCCTGCCATCCTCATGCTCCTTGCAGCCAGGCTCTATGTGGTCTCTCAAAGCTGGAACCATTTGAATTTGGTTTGGTATTTTTCCTTTTGGCTTTGGATGCTCTGAAATCTGGTGGAAACAGCCAACTGGGTGAGACTTTGCTTGCAATAAAAACATAGAGAACCTCCTGAGCATGGCTGCTCAGAGGAGGTTTCCTACCACTTATCTTCTTGCCTCCTTTGCTTGAAGATCACGAGATGTAAATTTGGCGATTTCAGTCATCACTGACTTCACTCTCTGGTTGACCTTGGACCCCCTTAACCCCAGCAGTAGCCTCACTGAGGGCTGGACCTGACTGTCCCCTCCTAGGCTTTGTCTGGAAACCCTGGCCCCAGCAGGAAAAATAAACCACAGCTAATAAATAAATTTGGCTGAGATAATAGCCAAGGGCAGAACGAAGGAGGAAGCAAAGCGAGCCAAAGCTCAGCCTGGAGGCAATAGCCCTGCTTGGGGCTGCACCCATGGCAGTGGTGGGCAGCAGGGGCAGGAGCATCCCATCACGTAGGGCAGGAGGGGACCAAGTCCTGCTCCTCCCTGCTGCCACTGCCCCCCAGGACCCCCACCAGCAGCCTGCCCGTGCGATGGGATTTCAGCTGAAACACCCTCTTACAAGAGGGAATTTCCTCCCAAACTCCTCCCACTTGAATTTTGGCCCCAGGACGTTGTGCTAAACACAGCGAGTGTCTCAGTGGGGAGGCTGAAGGACACCGTCAGGGCTGCTCTCCTGGCCCCTCGCCCAGAGGTGCCACCACTTTCCGGGCTGGCATGGGCAGTGAGTCAACGGCCAGGCTGATTTCGCTTCTAAGAGGAAAAAAGAGCTTTGTTTTGTTTTTTAACAAAAGCCTCTTGCAGTAAGGATTCAAGGAGCTGGGGGTGTTACCAAAGGTCAGCCCCCCTCCCCAAAGCCGGGGGAAGGAGATGAGTGCTGGCAGCAGTGGAGATGTCCTGGAGCTGGCAGTCGATGAGGAGGCTGCACATGTGGAGTGCACAGCCCACCTTTGTTGTTGCTAGGAAAGATTATTTGCTGTTTATAGCAGAGATTTGGCTCCTGTGAGAGAGATGAAGTGTTCAGCTAGTGTGAAGCTCCCGAGTCAGAGTGAAGCACCAGCGCACCCGTCCTGGGACAGCTCTGCTTTGTGGGTGCCAGTGGCAGGGGCTGGGTCCGAGTGGTCTGAGGCTGATGCTGGGGCTGGTGGGGAGCATCCTCCACCTGCCCCATCTGCCCACGCAGAGGGACCTCATCTGTGTGCAGGGGTTGGTGTTTTGATCATCAGAAAGAGGAAAAGCCGTGCCTGAACAAAGTAGTAATTAAATCTGAAAGGGACATGTCTGCATGGACAGCGTCTCCTTTTGGTTCTGATGCAAATGCTGATGTTCACGACAACATTTAAGAATGGGTTTGAATACATCTGAGCACTCCATTGTCCAAAAGTCATCGGGAGGTGAGGAATAGCTGCCCAGCAAAGACTGGGATGATGTTTCCTCTTCTCATCGCCCTGCCCTTGAGTTTCCCCCACTTCCAGGAATACGCCTCAGAGTCTTCCTGCCCGTGGCTGCATCATCACTTGAACCCAGCTAGAGAAAAACGAATCTATGAAGCCATCCCACCCCGGGGGAGCCAGGAGTGCCATGGTCAGCTCCCGGCCACCAGCCCCCCCAGCTGCCTGGCCCCCCGCCAGCCCCACCTGGCCTTTGCGCTAGAGGCTGTTGCTCTGGACGATTCAGCCTTCAATTTCCCGTCATAAATCAGCTTGCTGCTCTGGAAACTTGTTGAATGGTAGATTTTACTGAAATCCATGCTAGCAATCGTTTGCTGTGAGAGTGACAACAGTCCCTGTTGTGGGGTCCTTATTTTACTGAGCAGTATTTGGAAAATAACCTGGGAATGACATCTGTGGCATCTGGGGATGAAGAATAGACAGTTTGCTGAAGCCCCTCTGCCTTCTTTCCCCTGCCACTTAGGGCAAACATCCTCCATCTCTCCCTCCATGTCCCCCATCCCTTTGTCCCGCCATCTGAGGGTCATCTGTGTCCCACTGTGTATGTACATATATATATGGGGTCACAAAGCTGCAAGGCATCACGTTCCACATGCAAACGCCAGCAAAACTGCTGTTATTTGCACTTTACTTCATTGCTATCACTTTGGTAAGCCTGCCTGGATTAACAAGCAACATGCTCTGCCTGGCTTTGCACGACTGAGCTCTTGGCTGGATGTTGCTGAAGCTGGATGGGAGAAGCTCAGCAGATAAAGCCTGAGGGTGTATTTCTAACATGCGTTCTCTTCTTTTTCTGCAGCCCGGGGCAGTCTCCAGCCGTGGTCGCAGGGTGTCATTGCAGTGGTGGTGTTTCTAGTCCTGGTGGCCATCGCTTTCATGGTCAATAAGTTCTGGTGTAAGGAGAAAGTGTAAGTGTGGGAGCCCTGGGGGCTGCTTCAGGTTGGGCTTCGCTGCCTCTGCACGGGTCACTTCCAGCTGCCTCTGTCCCCATGCCAGGGCTGGGAACGCGGTGACCACTGCCAGGCAGGGAGAGCAAAGACTCCCTGTCCTGGTCTCCCTGTCCTCTTCTCGCTGTCCTGGTCTCTGCTCCCTGTTACTTATTGCCAGGGGTGAGCGTACGCCAGCCGTCCCTGCTGCTCCCTGCACAGGGGCACCCCCAAACAGAGCTCTCAGATGTTACTGCAAGAAAGACGGGAGAGCCACAGCATCGTGGCTGGTTTACGTGGGCATGCATCTCGGTGGGCTGGCTTCAGGCTTGTTTTCTATGAATTTGGGGGTGCAGGTCCCAGTCGGTTCCTTGGGAAAACAAGGCCAGAACAGCTTCATTTGCCCAGCAGACTAGGCAAGTCAGGAGAAGATGCTGAGAGGAGCTGGGAGAAGTGGGAGGTAGCTGAGCCGTGGCAGTGCTCTGCACCTGGAGCCCATGGCACAGGTAGATGAGGTGGCCTTATTCATCAGAAAAAGGCTGTGAGGGACCGGTTACCTCTTACCTGCTGCTGGCCAAGCAAAGCCCCAGGCTGCTGCTCCTGCTCAGCTGACCCAGGACAGCTGGCTAAGTTGCAGGAACTTGATCTTGAATCTGAGCCCAAAGTCAACAGGGGGTGAAGATCGAAAGGGCTCTGTAGCCTGGTTCCCGGTTTTTCTGCACCAGCATGGGTGCTCTGGGCTTTGCACCCAAAGGTGCTGGAGTCTTCTTGTACCTGCAGCCTCTCTGAGGAGGTGGGGACCTGGGGTGTACCCTGATGCTCAGTGGGTCGGCTTCTGCTTCAGTTGCATTTAAAGGGAGACCTTTGGGATGCATTCAGAGACAATGCATAATGCAATGTGTGTGTGTATATATATATCTATTTATATGGTCTGCTTTGCAACTGCAGTCTTTGTTTCCCAAAGAGGAACCTTTGTCCTTAGACTGGAGGAGCTGCCAGCCCACTGAGTGGGAGGCAGGGATGGTGTTTCCCATCTCTGCCCGCACCCGGCTGCCTCTTCCCAGCCCAGAGCCCTACCGGTGGGGTTGTGCTCTGCCCCCAAGGATGCTGAGGAGGGCTTGGGGGGATGGCAGCTGATTTTAATTAATCTGGCCTCTCTTCAGAAGAGCCGGCAGCAAGGCTCAGCAGCCTGGTGTGCTGCCAGCTCCGCGCTGTCACTGTGACAGCAGCTATCAGCTCAAGCCACTGCCTGTTTATGCCAGTCTGTTCCTTGGAAAAAACCTCTCAAATTGCCCTTGGGAGAGCGCTGGGGGAGGCAAGGATGTGCATGCAGGGTGGACCTGCACCCACCCACCACGGCTACACCACCCAGAGCCGTTCAGTTCATGGGCTTGCTCCAGAGATGAGTTTTTAGGCTCTGGCTGAGTTTGAATACCTAGTCCCTGCCCCGCAGTTCCTTCTGCGAGAGATCCAGACTCACAGCCGGGAGGAAGCTGCTGGGTTTTGCACACATGGATGTACATGCGCACCCCTCCTGTGCCGGGGCTGCGGCACCAGCAGAGCCTCGGAGTGTCTCTCGGTGTCAGTTGGGATCATAGGGGATTGTTTTGCAACAGATTACATACAAGAAGACTGGAAAAACCAGTTAGCGGGAGGCAATAATCCCGTGTATTGACAGATGAGTCTCGCTGACTGCCACCTTGGTGCTGGCAGTACCAGCTCCAGAGCCAGGGGTTGGCATGTGGCATCTGGGCACAGCCCCTGCAAACCTGCCACGAGGGCATCTCTCCTCACCCCTGTCCTGCCGGGAAGGGGCTGAGTTGGGTGTCCGAGAGCAGGATCACACATCCAGATCCCTTTTATCATCTCTGTAGTGTTGGAGCAGTCCTTCTTCTCTGCCATTGTGAGCTGCTCCCCGACACGACCCCTCAGTTGCTCTGTCTCAGCTCCTCTCTTCTGCCCCTCCAGGGAAAACGTCGAGACGGGGGTGAGCATTGAGAACAAGCAGGAGGCTGTCATATCCAATGGCCACGAAGGGAGATACCTAACCACTGCAGCCGACTTCAGGTGAAGACCTTTCTCAGACCTCTTCCCCATGGCTCCCAGGCCCTGCTCCATCTCCCTGGGGACAGCTCAGACATGCAGAGATGTGGTCTGTCCCACTCGGGTCTCACATGTCCCATGCACTTGGTTTTGGGGTTTTTTTCTTCTCCAGCAGCTAAGGAGAAGGCAGTGAGGGAGCATCCCCTCCTCCCTGGTGTCTCCCCGTCCCTGCAGCTGAGCCCCATGGTCCATCCACCACCTTACAACCTGCCACACCACATTTTTCTTATGCTATATCACACCTTTCAAACAGGGACAAAGAAGCCACCAAAAGTGACCATAGGTCACCATGCACATGCTGACTGTCAAAACAGCCCTCACTAGAAATTAAAGCAATTCCCACCCCACGCTTGGCTCTTCTCCTGACAGGAGAACCCCTCTCTCCCTCCCCATCTTGTCCCTTTCTTAATGTGTGGCCACCACCAGGCTGTTCAGGGCAGCGGTGGTGGCTTCAGGGGGGCTAGTCTTCCTGGGGGCGAGCTCACCACTGTGCTTCTCCCTCCCCATCCAGGTCCAAAGAGAGTCGGCATGTTTACGAGAACACCGTGGAGATGGAGGAGAAGGTGGTCACCACTGCCATGTAGCAGGTGCCCTGGCCATCCTCCCTCCTTCCTCCTGTCACTTTGCTTCCCGCCGTTGCGATGGGCATTTTCGCAGGGACCCTCTGCTGTGACATCCCTCGTGCACGGTGGCTCTCTGACCTCTCCATGGCACCATCATCTCCTGATCTTTTCCCTTCCCACCTGCGGGACATGCTCTTCTGCCTCAGGGGCTGGTGCCAACGTGGGTATCGGTCCCCAGGAGAGGTCTGGAGGTGCCACCTCTCCTTCCCAGCTGTCACCCCACCTAGTTAGCGAGGTTGATGTCCCCAGTCCCAGGGGGTGTTGACCTGCTCTAGGCATGGAGGGCTCCCCATTAGGTGTCTGGCACCTCTCCACATCCCCAACCACCATCTGGGGAGCTGCTGACGGAAAATTCACTCTCTTCTCCCCATTTCACCTTCCTTTTTATGACCTCCACCATGAATTTTAATGTCAGAACAACCTTCTCCCTTGTACATATCTTCCCTGTGAGCAATAAAGAGAATTGTTGCCCATACCACAGAAAACAGGGTTGTTTTACTAATTACCCAAAGAACTTTCTGGCATCTCACAGCGCTCCTAGCCTTCGGGCATTTGGGCAGAGAGGGACATCGGGTGAGGTGGTGCCACGGTGGGAAGGGTGCTTAGACAGGGGTCAGCACCCCCACTTTTCCTGTGTTCCCTCCTGGTTAGGATCCATCTCTTCTTTCCTCATTTGGATGAAGGCAAGAGTGCTTTTGCATGTGCCTGTGTATCAACAGAGGAGAGAAAAAGGTTGGGCACTTTTTTTTTTTGCTGAGCATTTGGACCACCCCAGTGCTGTGAAGGGCCGTACAGGGAGGTGAGCATCATTCCCCTCCATTTGCCAGATGGGGAAACTGAGGCACAGCACCAACCCACCAGCTCCCAGCACTGCTTGAGGGGTGAAAGGCAGCGCTCCCTGAATCCTGCTGGCCACAGGGCACAGACCCACAGCCCATGGGGGACTATTCCTCAGGCTGGAGGCTGCAAATGACAATCACTTACTGGTGTCACCAGGATGTAGTCAGGGGCTGCTCTGGGCAGTGCTGGCTCTCCTGGGGCAGCTGGCCATGGTGAAATGCTCCTGTCAAGCTGTTCATTAACCAAAGTCCGTCTTGTGCTGTTGTGGGGACAGTGCTGGGGTGACCATGGGAGCAATGGGCACTCCCAAGCCGTGGCATTTGCAGATTGAAATGAGGGAACTGTAACACTTTGGCATTCCCTGGGACATCAGTTGCTCCAAGTGGTGGGTAGAGTTCTCCCCTTGACCAGCAAGGAAAGGGTTAAGGGGCTCTGCAATCAAGGGCAGTCCAGGGGGTGCAGGTGGAGCAGAACTGGGAGGGATGGGATGAAATGGGATGGATGGGTTACAAGAGGGGGATTTTTGGTGGCCCCTGGGTTTGGGAGGAGCCGGGTGATTTTGGGGTTCTGCTATGCCTGGGCAAACGCAAGGGGAAGGAGATGGCAGGAGGACGTTGGATGCTTGAGTCACCTCTCGCTTTCTGCTGAGCATTGAGGCAAGGGGAAATGTCAGACCTGCTGTGACCAGCAGCTGTAGTAGGTTTGGGTCTGGGGGAGCCCTGGCCTCTGCTCAGGAGGTACTTTGCAGGTCCATTTGCAGGCAGTGATGCCAGAAATGGGCTGCTGTGGTGCTGGGGCTGGAGATACTGCTTTGCCTCTTACTAGCAGAACTCCTGTTCTATGTGTTTCAACCCTCAAGGGGCTTTCCTGCTGCAATGGCTGTGCCCTTCTCCTTTGGGTTTCTCGGTGACCTGAAAAGCCCTGAGCCCGGAGGAGGTGCTGCCTAGCACGGTGCAGGCAGCAGGCTTGCAAAATTGCCCTGTTTTCCTAAACCACCAAAACCTGCAGGGTATTCCCTGAAGTGAAGCTGTGACAGTTCTGATGGAGAGCTCACCCCAGATCCAGTGACTTCCTACTGCTGGGAGCCCGCTGGGATGGAGCTGGGAGCTGGATGCTGGTGCCACCACCTGCCGTGATGCACTGTGTCACCTCCTGCAAATGAAGCTGCTCATGTCCCTAGCAGATAGTGACACAAAAATTTGTGCATGGGAGAAAAATTCTTCCAGTAAGAGGCCCATCCTGAAAGATGTCTCCCTGACAAGCCTCACACAGCCAAGCATTTCAAAAATACCCTCAAGACTTGGCATTGGGAAATCACAGCTCCAGTTGAGAAATTATGTGGGAGTAGAAGAAAACAGGCAGAAGGGTTGGTGGGGTCAAGCCCTTGGGTGTGGAGGCACAAGGGCTGCCATCCCCAGCATCGTGACAAAGCTGTTCCCTTCTGTCCCCTTCCCTTGGACAGTGGGAGGCTGAGGGGTCCTGGACCTCCTCACTCCTGCCCTAATGGATGCTGTTCCCCTGACTTTTCTCTTGCAGGTGCCAAACGTCATGTGGGCTTGGAAAAAACCAAGCTCCCCGGTGCTGAGCGGTAATGCTTCGCTCAGCAGGGTTTAAGGAGGATTAGTCATTGCACGTTCCCGCTGCGTCAGCACTCGGGCTGGGGGCTGGGGGTGTGGCAAGAGGAGGGAACCCATTAATTTTTACCTCTCGGTTGCAAAAGGAGTTAGAAATGATATATAATGAGTAACAGCGGGAGTTTAGTCCCTGCCCTGTGCACACCCTGAATACGTGACGATTGCCCAAGCCATCCCCCGGCAGTGCCTGGGTGCGGGTTTGGAGTGGAGGGTGCTGGGAGCTCGGTGGGTCTCAGTGTCCCTTTCCATGTGGATCCCTCCCCTGATTGTAGGTCTGAGCAAGGAGAAGGATGGGGCTTTACCTGGAAACCTTGATGCTTGCTTTTATCTCAGCCACTGACAGCTCAGAGTTCACTTTCCTGGGGAAAATATCTTTTGCAAGAGCCACGGCATTACCTTCCTGGTGGGATGTCAGCTCTGCACAGTCTGTGATGCTGTCCTGCCTCAGTTTCCCTTGTCCATCAAGCAGGACCTGAGGCTGGCTGCGTGAAGCAAGCTGCCTCCCTGCAAGCTGTGCAGCCAGCTTGTGGATGCTTCTTGATGTGATCCTAAAAAGAACAAAAGGGAGCGAGCATAAATGAAATTTATTGTTGGAAAATCTTAATTAGATTTTAAGCCCCAAAGGGAGAAAAGTGAGGTATTATCTGACACAGCTAATGAGTGTTAAGGGTCCATTGTTATATTTCTTGTTTACCTTTCTGTGCTGGCTGATACGGCCCAGATCCTTGCCTGTACTGCCATAATTAGGATATCTCATCTCTCCCTGATAGGGTCGGGGATGCCGTTGAAAGCACAACGCTGTCTCATCCCTCCCCAGCAGGATGAGCCTGATCGGGAAGGCAACTTCTGGCATCCTGGTACTCGCACCCACCGCATTGACCCTGTGCGCTGGGGGATGCTCTCCAGCACCAGGGCTGTTCCTAATAGCCCCCGGTGGTGGGCACCTCCAACAGCCTCCATGGCCTCTCAGAAGGGCCCTGAACCACCTTGCCTGGGGGCCAAATCCTCCCCAGAACCTCTCTTCATGCAGCATGGGGGGTGACTGTGCCCTCCAGAAGACAACCCACACCCATTGATGAAGGGGAAGGACACCTGTGGGTACACCATCCTACTCCTCACTCCACAATGCCAGTATCTCCGGAGCTTGGGCTTCGGGAACATGTTCAGAACTGGGATCCACTGTGGAATGGCTAGTCTCCTTTTGTGCAGAAGATATTCAGGGTGGTCTTTTTGTCTTACAAGATGCATCACAGCTTTCTTTTGTGGCCTAGGAGGGTGCAACTCATCCCTTGGACCCCCAGATAACAGGGCTCTTGTTGAAAGTCACCTGCACCCTGAGGCTTCCCCATTCCCCTGAGGTTCGTGAGGCTCTTCAGCCATGGTGGTTTCAGATGTTTCTGCTCCAGCTGTGACCACAACCCTGGAGGAGCTTGGGCAGGTGGACACCTACCTCATTCCTTGGATTTCCATGCACAGCCTGACGGGCACAGATGCATTAACCCTGGCAAAGGCAGGTTAGCACTGCCTGGCCCTGAGGATTGTGAATTATTCTGAGGTGGTTTAATTAAAGACTTGCCATATGCATGTAAACCACTGCTGGAAGGACCATCAGCTCCAGCCCTGGGCCTGAGCAACGTCGCCTGGGGTTTATGTCCTGGCATTGGACGCCTTGACACTCAAAGGATGCAATTTGGACCTCCAGAAGCAAAAAGAGAGCCTGTCCCACCATTGTCATCCTTCGGGCTGGGGAAGGAGCCCAGCCACTCAGGGGGGAGCCGGGAGTGCAGCGTGGAGGGGTGACTGTGTGTGGGCAAGGGGGATGCAAAGTTTTTGGTCTCAATTCAAGCCAATGAAAGCCAGAAGTAAAATACCATCCATTGTTGGTTTATACACCCATAGTAGCCAAACAAACATCCCCGGAGCCTGTCCTTATCACTTTATTACACCTGCTAGAGTGAATAGATTAAAGAGGATGGGGGAGGAGGGAGAAAGCAGAAGAATCCAGCAGCAAAACTGGGTTTTGGGATTGTTAATTATTCTCTGGGGTCTCTAATCTTTAACTGGCAAACAGCATCACTAACTGTCTTAAAGCCCCTCCTGGAACATCCTGATAGTAAGCCATCTGCATGAAGGCACCCCGTTATCTGCCCTCCTCCAGCCGCCTGTGACATGGCTGGAGTGGGAGATAATGAATGTGTGGTGTGTAATAACGACACGTCATTCATGATTATCGGCCTGATACCCAACCTTTTAGCTCCATTGTTTGTGCTTCAGAAAAGAATTAAAAAAAAAAAAGAAAGAAAAAATAAAAAGGAGGAGGGAAAGAAGAAAAAAAAGGGGAATTTTGGTGCTATGGGCTGTCCCTGTGTCCCCGAAGTGTCTCCCTGCCAAAGGGGCTGGCTCTCGTAGCATCTCCCAGAGGGTTTGGTGGTACCTGGGAAGGACTTGCCCATGGATTGGCGGCTGCTGTAGCTATGGTGATGGAGG